ACCCAGTGGGCAAGAGAAAGAATGGAGGCAGGATTTACACACAGGCCTCTTTGATGCAACTCCTGTGTTCTTCCTACTCCTCTGTGTGACTCTGAACTATGAGGCAGAAGGCTGAGTCAAGTGCCAGAGAAGAGAGTCGGAGGTGACCATGCCCTTTTCCCATAGCTACGTCGTCAGGCATCGTTGCCCAGGCCTTGTGCAGATCCCGTCATGTGGCCGTCACTGCTGTAGATAAATCATATCTGCTGGGAAAGGCGCCTCTGGGCCTAAACAACAGATGTCACTCTGAGAAATCCCAACAGAACCCCCACACTGTCTCTGACTGAGAACTCATCTACTTTGCTCTCCCTCTGTCCGTTTTCTCACACTCTACCAGAGCCAGGACAGGGCTTTTGCTCTAGGAAACGAAGTGGCCAACTGCAGCCGTTGAAAACTGCCTTGGAGGAACCAAAACCAGCAGAGGCAGCCCTCTCTCTTCCTGCTGGGCAAAGCCAGAGCTGGCCACTGCCCTGGCCCAGCCCCAGCTGTCCTGGAGCCCAGGGAAGGCCCAGTCCCCTAGGGCTGTACTCAGATCTTCCTCAAAATGCTCCATGTGGCCGGGTGCGGTGGCTCATGCCTAGAATCCCAGCACTTTGAGAGACTGAGGCGGGAGGACCCCTTGAGCCTAGGAGCTTGAGACTAGCCTAGGCAACATAGCAAGACCCTGTCTCCACAAAAAAATAAAAATTAGCCAGGCATGGTTATGCATGCCTGTGGTCCCAGGTACCCAGGAGGCTAAGATGGGAGGATACTTTGAGTCCAGGTGGTCAAGGCTGCAGTGGACAGTGATTGCCACACGGCACTCCAGCCTGGGCGACAGAGCAAGATCCCATCCCTAAATAAGTAAGTACATGCTCCATGAACATCAAAAGGCAGGACACCCAGAAAACTCAAGCAAGCTGGGCTCACCGCTTGGTAAGAAATGCGGAGGAGCGGGGGTGGGGCAGGGACCGGGGGTGGGGCTTGTGTAAGAGGACTGCCTTGTGTAAGAGAACTGTGTAAGTTCTGACCAAACCAGAACAAGTCCTTCATCTAACGCAGTTCCTAATCTTTTTGTAATCTGGGGCCTTTGACATCTGGGGAAGCTTCCGGACCTCTTCTGAGAGTCATGTTTTTCAATGCATAAAACAGAACGAATGCATTGTATTACAAATGACGCCAGCTATCTTGCATTGAAGTTTTGAATTTTTTTTCACTTGTAATAAATAGATGAGGCTCCTATAGTACACATGAAACTATAAGAACAGCTGGCTCAGTAACTACTATAATTTTGAAGTAATGATACATATAAGTTATATTTTGAGATATCTGCAATAACTATACTGTGGTTTAAAAACATCTGTGATTTCGACTGATGACAAAGTTAGTGGGTTTTTTTTGTTGTTGTTTTTTGTGTGTTTTTTTTTTTGAGATGGAGTTTTGCTCTTGTTGCCCAGGCTGGAGTGCAGTGGCGTGATCTCAGTTCACTGCAACCTCCACCTCCTAAGTTCAAGCTATTCTCCTGCCTCAGCCTCCCAAGTAGCTGGGATTCCAGGCACGCACCACCATACCCAGTTAATTTTGTATTTTTTTAGTAGAGACGGGGTTTCACCATGTTGGCCAGGCTGGTCTCAAAACTCCTGACCTCAGGTGATCCACCCACCTCAGCCTCCCAAAGTGCTGGGATTACAGGCGTGAGCCACCATGCCCGGCCAGTTAGTGATATTTTTAATGCAACTGCAATTTGTTACATACATTCATAATTGAAGGAAATATTAAATTTCAGTTAAAGGCCAGTGGCTCACATCTATTATCTCAATTAAAAAAAAATGTGGGGATGCTGAGGCGGGAGGATTGCTTGAAGCCAGGAGTTTGAGAACAGCCTGGGAAACAAAGCAAGGTCCCATCTCTACAAAAAATAAAAATAAATAAATAATAAATTAGCTGGGTACAGTAGCATGTGCCTGTAGTCCCAGCTACTTGGGAGCCTGAGGCAGGGGTATCACTTGAGCCTGGGAGTTTGAGGCTGCAGTGAGTTGTGCTCGAGCCACTGCATTCCAGCCTGAGCAACAAAGTGAGACCCTGTCTCTAAACAAACAAAGTAATAATACATTTCAGTTAGAGGTTAATGAAAATAAAACCAATTTTTTTCCCACCCAAGTTCATAGACCTCCTGGATTCTTTCTGTGGACCTTGGGTTACTCTTCCCTAAGTTTTTTTTTTTTTTTCTTTTAGAGACAGGGTCTTGCTCTGTCACCAAGGCTGGAGTGCTGTGGTGCAACCATAGCTCACTGCAGCCTCGAACTCCTGGGCTCAAGGGATTCTCCCACCTCAGCCTCTTGAGTAGCTGGGACTACAGGGACACCACCATGCCCAGTTAATTTTTTAAAACTTTTTTTTTTAGAAATGGGGTCTTGTTCTGTCACCAAGGCTCATCTTGAACTCCTGGGCTCAAGCAATCCTCCCACCTTAGCTTCCCAAAGTGCTCAGACGACAGGTGTGAGCCACCGTGCCCGGACTTCTGCCCTAAGTATTGTTGGCCTCACTTTCCCAACTAAAATGGGAGCTCACTAAGAACAAAGGCTGTTCCTTCACCTTACACTTGGTAGCTTGAAAGTGCCTACCACACAGTAAGTGGTCATGTGTTAGTCTGTTAGGTCTTTTGGATTTTCTAGGTAGACAATCACATCGATTGCAAATGATAGTCTTTCTCTTTTCAATGTTTGTATTTCTTTTTTCTTGTCTTGTTGCATTGACTGAGATCATTAATGAAATGTTGAATAGTAGCAATGGTGGAGGGCACCCCAATCCAAATCCTGTGCCTGGGGATAACAATGTAACACATTTGAGATCTTTTCCTGTCCACTGAAATGTCTGAGCAGTAGCAGGATTTCAGTGGACACAACAATGCTGAGAACATCACCAAATTCTCCAGACTTGCTGAAGTGCTCCTTTGGGATCCTGGTTCCCAAAAAGTACGGACATAGGTCCCTGCTGGTGGCCCCAGGTTCCAGGCCATCAGTAAGGCTGGGAGCTGCAGACTTTCCCAGGGCCACTGCAATGCGGAGCAGAGGCAAGTACCCGGGGAGAAGACTGAGAGATGCCTCTGTAGGGGAAGGGATGGGGGAAGGCAGCCAGAGGATTGAGCCAGGCCAGGGGTTGAGCCTTGCCTTGCCTTAGCAGGGCCTGCTGAGGTCACCACCTGTCTACACTAAGGGTCTAACTACAGGCAAGACCAGATGTAAAGACAGAGGACTGCAACTTCCAGGTGTGCAACTAGGGGACGGGGTACTTGTTCCCTTTTCCCTTCCTCAACCAGAGGGGAGTGAACACAGAGGAGGGGCTGTCGGGAGCAGTCCCCACATCCTCTCTAGTCTGTGTAGCTGGCCCTGGAGGAGGAGGAGAATTTTTAATAAAATATAAGGAAGTTGAAGTTGAAAATGGACCAGACTATGCCTTAGGAACTAGCATAGGACTGTTGTAATCATACATGACTGAGAAGTCAGGAGATCCGACCAAAATATTTTTAAGAAAGCCTGCTGCAGGCCGGCTTTCTCATGCCTGTAATCCCAGCACTTTGGGAGGCCGAGGCAGGCGGATCACTTGAGGTCAGAAGTTCAAGACCAGACTGACCAACATGGAGAAACCCCATCTCTACTAAAAATACAAAAATTAGCCAGGCATGGTGGTGGGCACCTGTAATCTCAGCTACTCGGGAGGCTGAGGCAGGAGAATTGCTTGAACTCAGGAGGCAGAGGTTGCAGTGAGCCAAGATCATGCCATTGCACTCCAGCCTGGGTCACAGAATGAGAATGTTGTCAGGTGCAGTGGCTCATGCCTGTAATCCCAGCACCTTAGGAAGCCAAGGCAGGCAGATCACTTGAGGTCAGGAGTTCAAGACCAGTCTGACCCACATAGTGAAACCCCATCTCTACTAAAAATACAAAAATTAGTCGGGCATGGTGATGCTGGCCTGTAATCATAGCTACTCAGGAGGCTTGAGGCAGGAGAACTGCTTGAACCTGGGAGGCGGAAGTTGCAGTGAGCCAAGATCCCATCACTGCACTCCAGGCTGGGCGACACAGTGAGACTCCGTCTCAAAAAAAAAAAAAGAAAAGAAAGCCCAGCAGAATTGAGGAAAGCCGAGTCAGTTGAAGCCGTGGAAACAATACCCCTATGGGAGGCAGAAGAATGCACCCCCCTACCAAGATATCCACATCCTAACCCCCTAAAACCTGTATGTTGCCTTAAGTGGCAAAGGGGAATTTGCACATGTGACTACCAGAAGGATCCTGAGCTGGAGAGATTAGCCTGGATGATCCAGGTGGATCCCATATAATCACAGGGCTCCTCAGAAGGGAGAAGGCGCTGTAACCGTGGAGGCAGAGGTGGATTGAGGCAGCCAAGGATCACAGGCACCTCTCCAGCCCGGAAGGGCAAGGAACACACTACCCTGGCGCCTCCAGAAGGCACAGCCCCATCCACACCTTGATTCTGGCCCTGTAGGACCCATCTGAGACTTCTGGCCTCCAGGGCTGTAAGATAACACTTTTGTGGTGATCTGTTACAGCCGCATGAGGAAACTAACACAACCCCAAGGAGGTGAGCCTCTCCCCACAGCCCCGACCCAACCGGAAGGGAGAGGGGTGCAGAAGAGGGCTCTGCAGGATGTTTGGGACAAATGGTCTCTGGGGAAAGACAGAAGCTAACAGAACTGATTCCACTGTGTGAACAGGGTACTGGGAGGGCCCACAGGGGAGGGACTTCAGAGCTGGGCCTGCGCCAGAGTTAGCCAGGAGCAAGGCAGCCCAGGACAGGCAGGGGCTGCCCGCAGGAAGGTTCGCTCTTGCCAGTACCATCCCATGAGCAGCCTCAGCGCCCCCGACCAAGAGGAGTCCTGAGGGCTGCGAGGTTGCTCACTCCTTACAGCATGCTGCCCAGCCTCCACCCCTGCATGCAGAAACTGTGCAGGGGACGAGCCCAAGGAATCAGGACATCCGGAGGCAGGGACGGCCCGGAGACGGTGGAATGGAGCAGAAGCCCCCCGAGAGGGGTTGGCGGGATGAATTCGCCCCGCTCCAGCCTGAGGAGGAAGGAAGTAGTTCCCTCCGCCCACCCTTTCCTTAGGCTGGTCCGGGGCAGGATTCTCGTGATCCGCGATTCGCTCCCACGGGCGGGACCTTTGTAACTGCGGGAGGCCCAGGACAGGCCCAGCCTGCGGGGCGGGAGGCAGTCGGGGTGAGGGAGGTAGGGACGAACGGGTGGACTGACCACAGGCAGGGACAAGGGGGCTGAGACCCGGGGAGAGGCCTAGACGCCCGCCGACGGTTGGGGGGCTGCGGGCAGTGGGGGCGGAGACGGCCCGGGCCGGGGCGGGGCCTGGTACGGGGCGGGGCGGGCCGGGCCAGACCTGCTCCGAGGCTCCCAGTCGCAGCGGTGACCGCGGGAGGGTGGGGCGCCGGGTAAGTTCTCGGGCCGGGCGGGGGGCGTACCCCGCTTGGCGTGCAGCCCTTTCTCCAAGACCCCCAGTGCCCGATCCCTTTGAGAAGAGGGGACCCCCTCGCATCCCCGCTGTCCAGGCCTCGCCGCTGAGCCCCAGCAGGACCCCAACCCTCGGTTGCCCTCGGCTCTGGCGTGTCCCAGCGGGGGCGGCGCAGCCGGGCAGTGGTTCCCTCGGCGAGGACTGGAGTCCAGGGGAGGGGGACGCGGGAGACGCCGGCCCCAGTGACCCCCCCCCCCCGCCCATCTCGGAAAATTGGTGGTGCGCGCCGCCCTGGGCCAGGTGCCTTCAGTTCTTCACACTCCGTGCAGCAGCCGCAGGTGACCATCGTCGTCTCTTAACAGGTGAAGGAGCCAAGACGCAGAGAGGCCAAGCCCCTTGCCTTGGGTCACACAGCCAAAGGAGGCAGAGCCAGAACTCACAACCAGGTCTGTGTCCCCTAAGTCCTCGGATGCATCGTCCCTGCCCCGCTGCCCTCCTGGGAGATTGTGGGAGAGAAGTAGGGGTACAGGCAGTGCTGGGTGTCCCGGGAGAAGGCTGCAGTGAGCAGACCCAGCCATCCCTGAAGGAGGAGCCCCGGGGCAGCAAACCCTTCCCTGGAAACAGTTTAAAAACACCGACCTGTTGGAGACAGAGATGCTGAGGAACGAGCATGGTTGGGGCCAAGGGAAACACCAAGACAGAGAGGGGAGAGCGGTTCCTCACTGCAACTTCCTCCAGGAACATTGCCCCCACCACTCTCACCAGTGCTAGGTGTGGGGGATCTTGCAGGCTCAGCTACGTGACTTAGCCTGTCTGTGCCTCAGTTTCCGCATCTGTGCCATGAGGTTAAGCATGTACCTACCTCTCAGGATTGCCGAGAAGATGACATAAGATGTTTGGTGTACAGGCTTAGCCCCCTGGCACCAGGTTACTACCAAAAGTTCATGGTTCCAGTGCCTGCTCCACCCTCCGTCGCGCCCCTCTGAGGGTAATTCTCTGTCCTGGGCACCTTTAACTTCAGGTTGTTCAGGGCTATCTGAGATCTGCAGGATTTCCGGACAGCCCCACCAACAACTAGGAGCTGCTTGGGTAAGACCAAGGCGAGGGGGCGGCAACTTCTCTGGCTCTGACTCCCCAGAGAGAAAGGCTGATAAGGGCAGGGTTTTGAAAATCTCTGGGCTGAGGTTTGCACAAGGTCCAGAGCTGCTCCGTGGCCCCCAGCCCTCCCCGCCACTGGTTTAGCAAGAAGGAGGAAGCCAGAGTGTTCTTGTCCCCAAACTTGATCCTTTGCTAGTCACTGGGGCTTGGGCCCTGGGAGCTGTCATCCACCACCCTCCTCCTCCTCCCTTCCCCACAGTCTAGGCCAGCGACAAGTTCTAACCCAAAGTATATCCTGAATCCGGCCACTCCTCCATCCCCTACTTCCACCCTGAGTCCAGGCTGCCAGCATCTCTTGCCTCCTCATCACGCTTGACCCCTCACTCCTATCCAAATCCCTAGCATCGCCTGCCAAGCCCTCTCCATGATAAGGCTCTATGTGATTATTCTCGATTCTTCTCTCCGGCCACTGTCCTGTACACTGCTGTCCCCAGCCTCCTCCTCCTAAGTTCTCCACTCTCTCAGGGGTTGTACACAGTGCACATGCTCTTCCTTTTCCCGGGAATGCTCTTCTCTGCAATCTGTGACATACTCCCTTGTAATTCAGGGGACACCTTAAATGTCACGTTGTCCCCGACCACCCCACCTAAGGAGACCCCGCCTGCTCCCTGGCCCCTTACTGTGGCTGGTTGGCTTTCCAGTGCTTAGCTGGGGATGTGGTCTGTCTTGTATATTTCCTTGCTTCTTTGTTTGTCTCCCAGGTAACATGTCAGTCTACCAGCATCCTGACCTTGCCCTTGCCCTTGCCTCTTCACCTTGGATTTCCCAGAACCTGGGAAATCAGTGCCTGGCACCTAGGAAAGACGCAGATACTTTTGTACAGTTGCATGCAATGTGTCAGCCATCAGCCTATTTTTCTTCTCATTGCTTGACAGCATTTTTTTCTCCTGTTTCTACATAGACCTCAGAATTATCATTCCTCCCAAGAGCCCACTGCCTTCCTCAGCTTTTTCCTAAAGTAGGGCTTGAGGGTTGAGGGCCACTTCCAGGTTTTAACCGTACTATTCAACTTAGCTATAAATATCATTGTCCATATTGTGCATGTTTTTGGCTATCAAATGACTTCTTGGAGATACAGTTTCCTAACTGAGGCGTGCAAGTCAAGGATGGGATCATTTTGAAGGCACTTACCTCTTGTGACCAGGTATCTATTTAGAAAAATCATCTCCAGGAATGCGTGCACATTTCCCTGCAGCTCTGCAAGCATTGGGTTTTACCCTTTTTATTTGTTTTGGCTAGTTTAATGGAGAAGGGCATGGTAGTTTTACATTTTCTGTTGCTTGAATTGCTGAAGCTGAGTGTTTCTCTGCATGTGTGCTAGTTCTAGTTCCTGTCTTGCAAAGGAAGGAAATCTCCGGGGTACCTTAATTCTTCCCTTCACCTCCTCTTGTGGTGATGGTTCCACTTGAGCCCCTCTCGTGAGAGCAGGTTGAGGATCCCAGGGGGCTGGTATGGGGACATACAAAGCTGAGCTCTGCTAGGTCCAGAAGCTGCCCAGTCAACCAGCGAGAAACTCTAAGAGTCCCTTGCACCCTCAGCATGTAACTGTGGGGAGAGAAAGAACCTTTTTAAAGTTTTCTTGAAAGTTTATTTCAAAATAATTTTTTAGAATTAGGCCAGGCACGGTGGCTAATGCCTGTAATTCCAGCACTTTAGGAGGCTGAGGCAATGGATCGCTTGAGGTCAGGAATTTGAGACCAGCCTGGCTAACAATGGCAAAACCCTGTCTCTACTAAAAATACAAAACAAAATTTAGCTGAGCATGGTGGTGGGCACCTATAATCCCAGCTACTCAGGAGACTGAAGCAAGAGATTCACTTGAACCTGGGAGACAGAGGTTGCAGTGAGCCGAGATCATACCACTGCATTCCAGCCTAGGCAACAGAACGAGATGCCGTCTCAGGGGAAAAAAAAAATGTATAGAAGTTACATAGAGAGAGAAGGTGCAATGGCTCACGCCTATAATCCCAACACCATGGGAGGCTGAGGCAGGAGGATCGCTTGAACTCAGGAGTTTGAGGCCAGCCTGGACAACATAGTGAGACCCACCCTGTCTACAAAAATTAGCTGGACCTGGTAGTGTGTGCCTATAGTCCCAGTTACTCAGGAGGCTAAGGTGGGAGGATCCCTTGAGTCCAGGAGTTTGAGGCTGCAGTGAGCACTGATCGCACCACTGCATTCTAGCCAGGGTGACAGAGTGAGACCCCAACTCCAAAAAAGCAAAACAACAACAACAAAAAACAAAAAAAAAAAACAAAAAAACAAAGGGTGCAACGAATAACCTTGCAGGGTTATTCATTGAAGCACTGAGGTGGGAGGAGATTGGAAACAACCGTAGGTGTCCATCACTAGTGAGATTAAACACATTCCTGCAGGGGGCTCCTGTGCAGCCATGGCAAGGCGTGCACTTCATGCAGGATGCACTGGTATAGAACCACCTCTGAGATACTGTGTTAGTCTTCTGTGGCTGCTGTAACAAATGGCCACAAGCTTGGTAGCTTAAGATAACACATTTATTATGCTGCAGTTCTGGAGGTCAAAAGTCCGCAATCCGTCTCAGTGGGCTCAAGTCAAGGTATGGGCATGGCTGTGTTGCTGCTGCAGGCTCTGGGGGAGAATCTGTTTGCTTGCCTTCCCAACTTCTAGAAGGGCCCACATGCCTTGGATTGAGGCCCCATCCTCCATCTTTTAAAGCATTGAATCTTCAGATCTTTCTGACTCCAGCCTCTGCTTCTGTCCTCACAATCTCTTCTTTCTCCTGCCTCCACTTATCAAAGACTCCTCTGATGACATTGGGTCCACTAGGATAATCCAGAATCATTCCCGCCATCTTGAGAGCTGCAACTTAATCATATCTGCAAAATTCTTTTTGCTATGTAAAGTAATATACAAGTTCAGAGATTAGGGCATGTGCATCTTTGAGGGGGAGCATTATTTTGCCTACCACACCCTAAAGGGAAATAAGGTTCAGAGCAGTATGTGGGTTCACATTTGTTTACGAAAAAAAAATAGAAGGTTGGGGGAGAGTGTATACTCATGTGCTTATGAGGGCATAGAATACTCCAGAAGGCGACGTAGGAAACCGGTCAGAGCAACCGCTTCTGGGAAGGAGAATGGGTAGAGGGGAGATTGACTCGTCATAGAATATCTTTTTATATAATTTAAATTTTTTACTACATGCATAGATCACCTATGTTAAAAATAATGTTTTAAAGCAACACCTACTCATTGTAAAAGTTCACACCTCCCAGAAGCAGAGAAAAGCCCTACACCCTTTTCTTCCAAAAATAACCACTGCGAAGAGTGATCCTTACAGACCAAAAAAAAAAAAGCATCTGTATTTCTTTTGAGTTAGATGGGGTCATCCTGTAGACTCTGCCGTAATGTGACTCCTCTGCTTGCTCTGTGGCTGGCGTCTTTCCACGTCCTTATGTGAATACTCAAACAGCACTAGCAGCTCCTGCTGCTCAGAGGTGCATTCACTGATGTAGCTGGTGGTGGATGTTCAGAAGGTTTTACTGCTTTTCAGAGCAACCCCAACACTGTAATGTCTGTCTTTTTTAAATTGGAGTGAAATTCACATGATGTAAAGTTAACCATTTTGAAGTGAATAATTCAGTGGCATTTAGTACGTTTCACAGTGTGCAGCCTTCACCCTCTATCAGAATATTTTCATTGTTTTTCTTTGTATTAAAATTAAATCATTTTTCTTTTTTAAAAATACCTTGTTAGCTGCATGGAACATTTTTGTCACCCCAAAAGGGAGCCCCCTAAGCCATTAAGCAGTCACTCCCCATTCTTCCCTTCTTCCAGCCCCTGGCAACTACCAATCTGCTTGTTCTGTTCTGGACATTTCATATCCTGTTCTGGACATTTCATATCAATGGAATCATACAATATGTGACATTTTATGTCTGGCTTTTTTCACTTAGCATGGTATCTTTGAGTTTCATCTACATTGTAATATGTATCAGTACTTTCTCTGGCTCTCTCTTTTTTTTTTTTTTTTTAAATGGAGTCTTGTTCTGTCACCCAGGCTGGAGTGCAGTGGCATGATCTCAGCTCACTGCAACCTCTACCTCCTAGGTTCAAGTGATTCTCCTGCCTCAGCCTCCCAAGTAGCTGGGATTACAGGTCCCCACCACCATGCCCAGCTAATTTTTGTATTTTTAGTACAATTGAGGTTTCACCATGTTGGCCAGGCTGGTCTCAAACTCCTGACCTCAGGTGATCCACCCACCTCGGCCTCCCAAAGTGCTGGGATTACAAGTGTGAGCCACCACACCTGGCCCCCTTCATTTCTTTGTAGGGCTGAATAAAGTTCCATTGTGTGGATAGACCCATTTTGTTGATCCATTCATCCGTTGATGGACAAGTGGGTTGTTTCTACCTTTTGGCTTTTGAGAATAATGCTGTGGAAAGCTATGAACTTTTGTGTACAAATAAGTGTTTGTACACAGGACTCAAAGTCCCTGTTTCAGCTCATTTGGCTCTATATCCAGGATGTATGCCCTCCTACATACACTTTGTACTTTACACTAATTTCAGGCACAGTTAAAACTAAACTAACTTAAAACTAATTTGTCAGAAAGAATTGCAGAGCAAATACCAAGGTAGATGGCAGCAGGATGATAGATCTGGACAAATGTCTTCTTATTTTTCAGATCCAGAGGCAACAGGGACATGGCCACCTGGGACGAGAAGGTAAATGAATTCTGTGGTCTTGCAGCATTAGAGGATATCCTAACCTTGAGAGGATAATTCTGTTTGGTGTTTCAAACAGGAGAGGGAGAACCACCTGTTTAGATGTTTCCACTATACTGAAATATTTAAAATCACAATGATCAAAAGCTATAAAAGGACTTCACAAAACCTCCAAGTAGCCTGATATTCCACATCAGACCATTTGAATCCCAGTCCTACATGTTAATAACTATGTGCGTTTTTTGTTTTTTGGGTTTTTTTTGGTTTTTTTTTTGAGATGGAGTTTCACCCTTGTTGCCCAGGCTGGAGTGCAATGGTGTGATCTCAGCTCACCGCAACCTCTGTCCCCCAGGTTCAAGTGATTCTCCTGCCTCAGCCTCCCGAGTTGCTGGGATTACAGGCATGCACCACCACACCTGGCTAACTTTGTATTTTTCGTAGAGATGGGGTTTTTCCATGTGGGTCAGGCTGGTCTCGAACTGTGCATGTTAATAACTATGTGTCCTTAGGCACAAAATAACTGTGCCCTTCAATTCCCTAAGCCTCAGTTTCCTTATCTGGAAAATAGTGAAAAGATTATTTACCAGCCCTGCCCTTGAAGGATTGTCGGGAAGATTTGATAATACAATGGTCTCAGAATGTTAGGCAAGTACTGAGCCCATAACAGGGCTTGGGCACAGCAAAGTAAAGTCACTTCTCCAAGATCACACAGCTAGAAAGTGGCAGAAATGGGATTTCACACCAGGCGTGGTGGCTCATGTCTGTAATCCCAGCACTGTGGGAGGCCAAGGTGGGCAAATCACTTGAGGTCAGGAGTTCAAGATGAGCCTGGTCAACATGGCAAAACCCCATCTCTACAAAAATACAAAAATTAGCCAGGCATGGTGGCATGCACCTGTAATCCCAGCTACTGGAGAGGCTGAGGCAGGAGAATCGCTTGAGCTTAGGAGGCAGAGGCGCGGTGGCTCATGCCTGTAATTCCAGCACTTTGGGAGGCCAAGGCAGGTGGATCACCTGAGGTCAGGAATTTGAGACCAGCCTGGCCAACATGGTGAAACCCCATCTCTACTGATAATACAAAAATTAGCCAGGCATCATGACGCACACCTCTAATCCCAGCTGCTTAGGGGGCTGAGGCAGGAGAATCGCTTGAACCTGGGAGGTGGAGGCTGCAGTGAGCCAAGATCGCGCCATTGCACTCCATCCTGGGTGACAAGAGCAAAACTCCATCTCCAAAAAAAACAGAAATTGGGATTTCAACCTGGCCTGACTCCAGAGGAAATGCTTTCCTCCTGTATCTTGTGGCCATCTCGAGTAGGAAATAGACTGTTTTTGATATCTGAGGCGCAGGTTTGTTGGATTTGGGGGGCATTGGTTGTGAAGATTGGGGGCGAGGTAGAAAGGAAGTGTTGACTTTCACATCAGCTGTTCATCTTGAGGTTCTGGGAGCCTGGCCAGGCCAAGCTGGCAAGGGCAGAGCAGGAAGCTCAGGGCAGCAGCAGGGGTGAGTGGGGCAGAGTCTGAGAAGCAAATGTGAGGGTCAGAATGACCACAGGATGGTGATGATGGTGATTGTGTGTTTCATCAAATTGATGACCCCGGTAACTGTAAGAGTTAGGAGCCCCAGGAGCTCCAGGTATCCATAAGAGAGTCAGCATGGAAGAAAGGTTAAGTGGGAACTGTTCATGCTTTTCCTTCATTTGTAGTTCCCTATTAAATTAGGCAAACCAAAAAGAACATTCAGAAATGCTTAATGCCGATTAGACTGTGATGAAACCAGCTCACTCATACATAGCACGGGGAACTGGGTTAACCCATGCCACTGTTCTAGACACAAAATTTGACCATGTATATCAAGAATCTTGAAAATTCCCATATTCAAGCCTGGTCATCTCACTTATGGGAAAAGAACCCAGAAAAAATAAAAAGTACAATTTATGGCACCATGTTCTTAGCACATGAGACAACACTGTAGATGCACCTTATTTTATGTACTATGAAGAAAAAAAGTGAAACAAGCATGTGCTGCCATTTACTGTGATTAAAAGTAACACAAGCCTGAAACCGGTCAATTGTCAGGCCCAGCTGGATTTCAGAGACGTTAAAATGTGAGAAAACGTGGTCTTAGGATTGGATTAAAAACCATCCAAAATGGTTAAAAAACATGCAAAATGCAATAATGAAGACCATTTGGCTCCTTGGTAAGTTTCCTGGTCTCTGAACAGGTGTGAATCTGATGCATATAGTGGTAAAAAATAAGATAGGAAATTGTCTGCTGTCTTTTTTTGTTTTGTTTTTTGAGATAGGGCCTGGTTCTGTCTTCCAGGCTGGAGTGCAGTGGCATGATCTTGGCTCACTGCAACCTCTGCCTCCTGGGTTCAAATGGTTCTTGGGCCTCAGCCACCCTAGTAGCTGGAATTACAGGCGTGCACCACCATCCCCAGCTAATTTTTTTGTATTTTTGGTAGAGACAGGGTTTCTCCATGTTGGCCAGGCTAGTCTCGAACTCCTGGCCTGAAGTAATCCACCTGCCTCAGCCTCCCGAAGTGCTAGAATTACAGGCATGAGCCACCGCACCTGGGCCACTGTCTTTGATTATAATTGTAAAAGATATAGACAGGTGGGAGAGAAAGAGGTAGACAGGTAGATGACACATAAGTTTGGTGTGCTGGGATTGTTATGAATTTATTTCCCTTTCTTTTCCTCTTTTCACAATAGTAATACTAAAAGAAATAGATGAAGGCTAAAGATCTGTTCATGGGGTAAAAGGTAGCAGGTCAAACTGGGGGTATGCATTTGAGTCTGGGCGTTCCAAATGAGGCTGGGGGTTGCAGGAACGAGTTGGTGGGGTGAGGGCCTTGTCAGAAGCCCATACCAGGGTATAGGGACAGCAAGGGAAGTAGAGATTGAAATACAGGACCAGGGACACACCTTAGGGAACTCCCAGGGCCTGCAGCCTGGAGCCTGGAGCCTGTTTGTGGTCACACAGAGGCTAGCCTGGGAGGGCGTTGTCAGGAGGGCGTTGTTGGGGGGCTGGGGAAAGGGCCAGGACCACTTGTGGCAAATAAGCCTCTTACTGGTTTGAAGAACATGTTCCTTTTCATGATCTGCCCTTATGGAATTAATTGTGTTTTGGGAAAAAGTTGTCTTAATGAGATTGCTTTTAGAATTTTTTGAGTGTTAGCTCTCCTAGTTTCTGAGAGGAGAACAGCTGTGTTGGGGGAGAGACTGGTGGGGTTTTGTAGCCATGGTGCAGACCTGGCTTGCAGTTCTGCTGAGATAGGCTCACCAGCCCTCCTCAGAGCCCCTCTCTGCCTGCTTCCATCTCCCAGAGCCTCAGTTTTCCTCTTTTGTAAAATGGGAATGATCACACTACCTCACAGAGTTGAGGTGAGGGTTAAACAAGATTGCATGTGGAAAGCACTTAGCTGGGTGCCTGGCTCCAGCCTGCATTTAAGACATGGGAGCTGCTGGCTCTGTCATGAGGATGAACCGCTTTTCAGCCATCAGCTGACCTTGTTCCTCAGCACAGGTGACTGCACTCAGCAGCCACCTCTGGGGAACTTAAGAGCCAGGTGTGTGTAGAAATCCCTGCAACTGCTGGGCTCATTTCGTGTGAGGCATGCAGAAAGGCCCGGTGCAGCTGGGGTTCCTTACTCACTTCGGCTGCACATTGACCACGCCAGTACCCAGACCACACCCAGATGGGTTGAATTGGAAGCTCTGAGCCCAGGACTCAGGTTTTGGGGTGCCTTAAAGCTGCCGGGTGATTCCAACATGCAGCCTTGCCTGGGTAGCCCCTCTCTCTGCAGAAGGAGGAAAGAGAAATAGCTGAGCTGTGTGTCCTGTGGTTTCCATGGCCAAAGCATCACTAGACATTGGCTCAGGCAACCTAGTCACACGGGTGGCAGCTCTACATTTCTACCTGGGTAACTTTTTCCTTTTTCTTTCTACACTTTCGTAAAACAAATTGCACAGTCCCTGCTCCTGGTTGACATGACTGATGTCACAGGCTTGGAGCAGACTCCCCTCTCAGTCATTCCCAGGGAAATAGGCAGAGTGTGTCCCCCTAGAACTGTCTTTAAACTCAACCCATTGGCGGGTCCTGAAATCCATTGAGTGGGCTACAATCAACCTTTTAAGGAATGAAATAGGGCCGGGTGCATTGGCTCACACCTGTAATCCCAGCACTTTGGGAGGCCGAGGCAGGTGGATCACTTGAGGTCAGGAGTTTGAGACCAGCCTGGGTAACATGGAGAAACCCCATCTCTACTAAAAATACAAAAAATTAGCTAGGTGTGGTGGTGCACGTCTGTAGTTTCAGCTACTTCTGGGGCTGAGGTGGGAGGATCTCTTCAGCCCAGGTGGTTGAGGCTGCAGTGAGTCCTAATCATGCCACTGCCCTCAAGCCTGGGTGGCAGAGTGAGACCTTGTCTCAAAAAAAGAAAAGAAAAGAAAAGTAAATAGAATAAAATGGAAAATAAGATCTCCTCACATAGTAACTTTAGGGCTAGTTATAGAATGTGTGTACACAAGTCAGTGTGTACTGAGAGGCAGGGTATGAAACGTGATTTCTTATTGAGAAACACTGCTCCAAACTCCCTTCCCAGCACGGGGCTTCGCCGGCTGTGAGGAAGGTGCAGGGCTGGGCAGTGTTCATGAGGGGTCCTGCAGGAGGAGGGGGCGCTGGGCTGGGCAGCCTGGGTTGGAATCCTAGCCTTGCTTCTCACTGGCTGTGTGACCTGGGGCAAGTCACTGGCCTCTCTGTTCTCAGTCTCCTCATCCATAAACAGAGACATTGCAGTCCCTGCCCCATGGGCTTGTTACGGTATGTTAATGAAGGTCTTTGCACAGAGCTCAGAAAATATTAAACAGCAGGTATTCTAGGGATAGTTGCAATGATTACAGTTCCCACTCCTGTAAATATGTCCCATTAGTCTGCATGCAGCCCTGCCATCATCTCACCAGGCTGAGCGGCTCACCTATCAAGACAGGAGGGT